ATCTGCATATATACAAGTTGAGTTATAAGATATATTCTAATTAAACTCACTATAATATATATCCTCATATATAACAATAGTTCACACTAAATCAGAAATCGAAAACAACTGTTGGAATGCAAACCTTTCGATCAGGATAAACGGAGACGGACTGCTCTGGCGATGAAGAAAACCCGAGGCGGCCGGAGATGAAGGCACGCAGACGTCGGTCGAAGACGAAGGCAGGCAGAAACGACCGGAGAAGAAGGAAGGACGGAAATCTCCTTTCGAACAGGATAAACGGAGACGGATGACAGAAGAAAACGGAGCTGGTCGGAGAGGAAGGCAGATAGAGACGAACGGTCTGAGAGAAGAATGGACGGTCGGAGGAAGAAGAAAGGGCTTTCGAAAATGGATGGTTTTGGGGATTTTTTAGGTTTTCGGATTTTTTTTTTTTGGAAAGTATAATTAAGCATATTTTAAGGGATTTAAATTGTAACCTCCCAATTTACCATTTCTAAATTTAAAAAATTATCTAATATTGAGGTGTATCCATCAAATGATATACTAGTAATTTGTGTGATTGATACCCTCATAATTAGTGTTGTTTCATCACAAAAGTGTAAATTTTATACATTTCAATCCTTTTATGTAATTATGATTCCTAAATAGACTATCATATTTTAGCCTCATCAACGGACTCGAAACCCAAAGGTCGGCCTAGATCTAGCCCAAAGTCAAAGTTTGACCGGCTCGATCCAGTCCATCCAAAAAGACCTGATCCAATATAATCAAATATTATTATATATATTATATATATATACATATACACGCATATATTAATTATAATTGATTAGTATTTAAGATTATTCTTTTATGGGGTTCACATCCCTTTAAAAAAATTATATTAATAGAGTAGTAATATAATTTATTTCTTTAAAAACAAAATAAATTAAATTGTAAAACTATGATATGACAAAATTTATTGATAACTTTTTGAAAAAAATTGTAAAAAATATAAAATAAAAACACAATTTGTAATACTTATGGTTTGGAAAATTATTTAAAAAACAAAATTTTAATAATTAAAAAATTATTTATTATATGAGCCTATTTAAGTCCGATCCAAATGGTCAAGTTTGATTCAATTTTGACATATTAAATTAAGCTTATGGGTTGGACTATAAACCTAGATTTTAGTGGTTTAGCCGACTCAAGTTCGAGTTAAACCATGCCTGAGGTCTATAGGATTTTGGTCCGAGTTGAATTTAGGCATTTGCTCCTTTGAACCGAATATCAACGGTCTGGCCATGATGAAGGTGAATTGTATTATTATTTATGAGTAATAAATAATAAAAGCAAAATATAATGATTACTCAACGCATTCATTGCATTTATCGAGAGGGATGAATCCAGAGAGGTTATCTCCCTCAGCCGTATTACCCCTAAAAGACCAAGTGGCCATTGTTACACGAACTTATCACGGCATTAGCAGAGCCATCGCCCTCCACTTGGCCTCCCTCGACGCCAGAGTCCTCATCAACTACCTCTCCTACTCAACCGAAGCCCAACTCCTGGCTTCCCAAATCAACTCCTCCTCCCCCGGTCCCCGTCGTGCCGTCACCTCCAAGTCAACTCCTCCTCCCCCGGTCAACGGTGGCTATGTTTAGAATCCGAAAATTCAACCGCTGAGCTAAGCGATCATTGTATTTTGAAAATTCCTTACTTTTTTTTTTATTTTTCTCTTTTATTTGCTAACAAATTCAATAATGGTCGACAGTTTAATATTTTCAGAAAAAAAAAAGTGGATAAAACTTATATTTCTTGGGTGGCTGCTCCTATTCAATTTACCCCTAACAAATGGTGAAAAGTTACATTAACACTAGAAATGGCTGCCAAAATATTGGGTAATAAGTAAGTAAGGTTTTAAATGTTGAATTCCCAATTTCATTAAAATGTTGTTGATGTCGATGAATATTTTTGAAAAATTTATAAAAATAAAAAACTCGATATATATATATAGTACAACATGCAGAGGTGAGAGATCGAACTTAAAACCTCTTGATTGATTTGAGATATATGTCAATTACCGCTGAACTATGCTCGCTTTGGCACTCGAAAAAAATATTTAAATTAACAAAGAATCGTTTTACACTTTCTAAAGGTGTTTCGATAGTGATTTTGCTGGCAAAATCATTTTTGCCATTGTCAAAATCACTTCCATTTTCTACTTATGTTTGGTAAATAATATTGATGTTATGAAAGTATAAAATCATTTAAAATTGATTTTTTAGGAATGGTGATAATTTTAGAAAATCAATTATTTTTAAATCACATTTTTCAAAATCACTAATTCTATCATCATTCTCAAAATGCACTTTAAATAAATTGAAAATGACAACAGTGTTGACGAATATTTAATATCATGTTAACAGGCAATAGGCAACTTTTAAGAGGTGAAAAACTTATATGTCAATTGACAAGTTTTTTGTTAATAGAGACTCTTGCTGTGGATTAGATTAGAGTGTATTATTAGTTGCATTTGAGTAGTTCAAAAACCCATTATTAGAAAAATAAAGTTATCCAATCACGATAGCCACTCGATCCTGCAGCGGCAGAGCAACCACTGCGGGGACTATTCTTCCCTCAGGTGAAGCCATTGCAGGCAAATAGGGGAGATTGAGATTGATAAATCCTGTAATAAAAAAAAAGTAGCTATTCTGCTCATTGATCTATATTATATTATTAATGATACGATTCGTTTCAGAACACTTACTAGTTCAAGAACAGATCGTAATAGGTGCAGAGTCTATAGTCAAAAATCTTCTGGACTTTTCAACCAATTTCTACATTACATCTATTCTTACACATTTTCTAAATACACTACTCAGGATATACCTACAAATGATATACAATTTCTCAACGACTTTGGATGGCAGAAGCTGGTCCACTACTTCTTTGAAATTCAGATACAACCTCGGAGAAAAATAAAGGATAAAGAGTAATCTGTAAAGCTCGTAAGTTAATAAAAAAATAATATTGTAAAACTTCTTTGCATAGACAACTGAAGTTTCGAAGCTCTGCAAACAAACTTCAAAATAATAAATCATCTCATTTAAATTTCGTAAAATTGTTGAGCCACTAAAAAACTCCATAAATTTTCTCATGATAAACTTCTAACAACACGCATTTTCTAAATAAATTTGTTAATTGTTCTCCTGAAACATAAACAGAACTAGTAAAATACTTTCTAAAATCACTTTATAAAAACATATAGAATATCTTCTTTCAACCATAAAATAGGTTAAGAAAACTCAACATCGCATATGTACCCACGTTCAATTCTGGTCTACTGGCGCAGAGTAATCTTAATACGCACAGCAAAATAATTCTATTTCTGGTCCACTGGCATATAGTAATCTCAATATACACAGTAGAATAATTCTCTCAACGCGCGGAGTAAAATGGTCTAAAAAACCTTCTATTTCTGGGTATACTATAGAAACACATTCTTATAGCATACAGGTAGTCACCTGGATACAATAATATGGTGGTTGAAAACTTATTTCTACATAAAATTCTCAATCTCATCAATGGTTCTAAAATTCTTCTTTCCGTTCTTTCTAATAATTTTTCTTTCTCAAACCACTTCTAAAATATTTCTTTGTAACTTTCTCAAATCTTTCTTTCTAAGAACATCCCATAAAATTCTATTTCTCGAACTATTTCTAAAATCTTGATTTCATAAAAATTCCAAAACAATTTATGAAATCTTTCTTTCTAAACATTTCGTACAATTATCTAAAACATAAAACATTTCTAAATCTTATAAAATGCAGTTATTCTAAAAACATTTCTAAAATCGTTCTTTCTATCAACATTCAATAAACTTCAAACATTGATCTAGAATCATTAGAAATATTTCTAAATTCTCAGAGGCATTTGTAAATTCTCAGACAAACACATTTTATTTTGTTTAAATTTGAACGTTTCTTAAACTTCAAATATTTTTCAAAATTATCGGACATTTCTCTAAATTTTAAAAACATTTCTAAAATCTCAAACAACCAAATTTCAATACATACCTAATTCCAATTTAAATCTACAATTCTTTAAATTAAACCACAAAATTCCATCCACAACTTCATGCTCTCCCTACAATTCAATTACACATTTTTCTCTCTTATCTTCCTTACAAGTGGGACCCACATCCTTTCTCACGAATCTCCCAACATTTTCTTTTTCTTTCTTATTTAATTTAAACTCACACATTATCTCTCCTCTACTATTATATCTTCTTCCTTTAACCCATTCAACATTTTCTTTTTCTTTCTTATTTAATTTAAAACCATCGCTTTTTACTGAAACAAACCAATTTTTCCAAACCAATTTTTCCAGCCATCACAGCAAGAAAGTACAGAATCTCCTGCCCTTCTTTCTACTGCGGTACCAACCCCGTTTCTCTGCTAACAATACACTCTTCTTCTTTGCAAGGACCCAAAGGTTTAGATTCACAAATCCACCATTATCACAAAGTCATCCACCATCTGAAACAAAGTTCACAATTATTCTCATTTCTTAAAACTCTAAAATACTCACAACCTCAAATAAACTTGGGATTCACAAAACCTCTAAAATACTCACAACCTCAAATAAACTTGGGATTCACAAAACCCACAAATTAAACGAGTCTATATCCTAGAAATTCATGATTTAAAACTCCAAAACCTACCAAAATCAAGCTCCCAAAACTCAAACCAATTTCAAAACTCTTCCCTTCGTTCATTAGCCCAACACCTTCGATTTCTTTCTCTTCCCCTGTTTCGATTTACCCTCTATTTTGTTTTCCTTCTTTTCTTTTTGCTTTCTTCTTTTTTTTTTTCTTTTTTTTTCCTTACCACACATGTCCTTTTACACAACTCACACACATGCACCTATTTTCAAACCTATTTTTTTTTAACCAAAAATTGAAATTCTTGTTTTTTTCTTTTCTTTTTTAACTCAAAATTATGAAAACGCCCTTACAAATAAAGTCCTCGAAAATGGAGGAGCATATGTAAATTTTGGCTGCTACTTGTACTTGATCATGTGGTGTAATGTTCACAGTGAATTTGGGTAAAATGTAGATTTTGAAGAGAGAATTAATTACAAGTTATCATGCTCGATCACTTGGGCGCCCCTCCACTCTTCACCAGGTTTTATAGTCACAGGAACCAACATGGAAGCAGGGCCAGTGCATATGAAGTAGTCTTTGCCATACTTGTTGGATGATGAACCTGGGCTTGATACGTATATGTCTTCGAACCCCATCCTTATCACCCTGAAGAACAGCTCTCGCCCCTGAAATATACCGACCCAACAAAATTTAGCGTGTGTTTGAGAGTGCTTTAGTAAAAGTACTTTAGTAAAATGTGATTGATAAAAGCGCTTTGCAGTAGCTATTTCTTTTACCTGATCAAGAGTCTCATACTTTGAAGGTGTGGTATGATATATGGGCTTCAGTCTCTCAGCCGGTGGGGCGGCATAAACTCTGCTGAACTTGTTCTTCAACATGGTGAAGGGCACATCTTGGAGGCTCCATGAGCCTGCTTTTTCCTGAGGCTCAGAGCCAAACGAGAACCACTCGGGGTCGTCRGCCTTCATTGCTTCCGATGGAGACAATATTTCGAAAGGGGAAGATAGAGGCGGGTGAGCGCAGTAAGAGCAACCTTGAAGCCCCTGGATGGCTGCTCCATCTCGTCTTTTGAACTTGAAATGACTTAGAATTGCGCTCTTTAGCGTCAACGGCTTAGGTCCCGTGTTCTTCACGATCACGGCGGTCGCCATACTTTCTGAATAGAGAGTGACAACATAAGTAATCTCCATTTGCTTGCTACTGCGGCTTAACTCCACCTACAACAAAACGACGTCCGGAAAACGAGGTTTTTAACTCTTCATTACTTAGRATTTAAGTGAAATAGACTACAAATTTACAAGAACGAAATGTTCAGTTACTATGAAGCCTCTAGAATCTAATATGAACACATGGATGATGATATACTATCACTACCAAGTACTATCATAATCATGTCTGGAACATAACTACACTACACAGATGAAATGTGTTTGAAATCAGTTAATAAAATTCTCTAGAATTGCCAGTAACTTTTCCAATGATCGAACAGACCACATACTTGAAAGGATGAGGAGGAAACAGAGCCCAGATCTCAGCCAAACTTTGCTATACTAACTTTGCTATACTAACGAGGAATTGATTCATAATACAAAGAATCAAAAGCCAAGACGGAGGGCCGAAATTGGTGAAGGTACATACCTGCAGAGCATCAATGGCGTCGGAATCGACATCCTTAAGAGTCCAATCAGAGGAGG